TATGCCCCACAAGAATATCGCTGTCCAATTTGTTCAACTCTAAAAACAATCGGTTCAGCAATGCTCTTTCACTGCAGTCAGGAAAGGAAAAAATGTTGGACGAAGCAACATGAATTGCCAAAAGGATATATGTGCACCTGGCATTGGAACATCAAGCACAGCTTATATAGCTACGGAACTGCAGAATATACCTGTTTTCAAAACTTAAAACACTGCAGCCGTTCTTTGAATTTCTGTCAGCCACTTCTTTTTTCCAACCAATTGGGTAACCAGTTCCTTCGGGATTCCTAACAACGGTGAAATGACTAAGAATACCAGATCTCTTTCTCTCTGGACGTGGCATTGGAACATCAATCTGGAATATCAAGGAGCACACACATCAAATGTCAAGCCACTAATGTAGACATAAGAGAATGTCTTTTGCGCATGAAAAAATCGTCCACAAACCAACTTAAACACAAAACACATGATACAAACAACTAATGGTATTAGGTAATGTCATGATCATACATCCATATACTTCATAAAGAGAAACAACTGCTAAGAAGCATTGGTCAAATGTTGTAGAACAAACCTTGGCATTGTGAAAGCAGAGAACAGAGGCAGAAACAATCTCACTGATGTTCTGCTTTTCATTGACTATAGTCTTTAAATTTAAGGCTGTAACGACAGCAGGAGGATGAACCACTTTTCCCTTCGGATCCGAAGCAGTGATAACCTTGGGAGATTCAACAGTAATCTCAAACTGGCACCAGCTCACCTGCAAAGGTGTCAAGTCCTTTCATTATTGGAGATAAACAAAACTAAAGATCACTATATAAGATCCTGGCACTATTTTAAGGCCTTACTTGTTGAGTAGGTGAACAAGTAGAGAAGTTTGAAATGCTCAGCCAAGAAGGTCCCTTGATCTTCCTTTTAAGGATGAAAAGCTCCAAAGCACTGCAGATAAATGAATTGAATAATAAGAGAAAATTGCATTGTGCTGAACTGACATAGCCGGCATACAAAAGACCAGCAAATGCAAACTTAACTGATCAACTACCAAATACAGGGAAACGTAATGAAACTAGAACCTGGTATGGGACCCGAGCAAAGCACAAAAAGACTCCCCTTTAAGATCTTCTGGAAGTGGAGGATCCTATGATAACAAAGGAAAAGTGTCATAGTACAGAGATGTAAGAAAGTTAACAAAAAATAACAGACTGCTTTTAGTTTGAGTTTGAACAACTGAATTGTACCTTAAATGGATAATTTATCTTCAATACATAGTGTTCGCCGGTAGGAACATCAGGCCTCTCAAAAGCATAGTTTCTCTGATATTCATCCAGAGAGTCAAAATAAAAGTATTGCTGCTAGAAAACAAGAAAAATAAATTTATATTCAAACCTTGACAGGCGCCATGCTAAAACTTGATACATTGAGTTGTAACAATTGCTGAGAAATTTCATTCTTCAGGTTTGTTGCCATTTCCTGACAAGAAGCGGCCAAACGCAGTAAATAACAGAGGAAAGAATATTGCTTCTTCTATGTAACACAGGAAGCCCAAACTCACATGTAACTTCCCGCGGGATTCAGGAGAAAGTCGAGAACCTTTCGTATCTTTTCTTTTTCGGTATGAGTCTTTCTTATCTTGTTCGAGCATAACTAGTTCATGGGAAGGGAAAACGGAATCATTTGGAATAGCATAAACACATCTCTGAATATTCTTGACTACCACACAGCAGCTCTTGTAAGTGTCTCCCGTTTTAACCTGAATATAGATAGAGGGTATTAGAATTGGTCTCTAGAATATCTCGAACACCAAAGAGCAACTTTAAAAAGAAAAACCCAATTGAAAAATGCCAACAGATTCACCTTCCCAAACAGATATATTGTGCCCATGCTCGCGCCAAATGCCTCCTCGTGCGCATCAAGAATGTAGAAACGGAGTGATCCATCAGCTTCTAAATCGAATTCTGTTTGCCCTTTACAATTAGAACCAAGTGAAGACCCATTCTCAGTTCCACCTTTGCCGATTGCGTCCTTCCAACCAGCAGTGGCGCTTAAAGCTGGATCATTCTCTTTCATATCAACTGTCGCATTCAATGTAAATACCTCCTTTGCGCCTAACTCAGACTTCGCTTCAGTTTTTCCTATCATGTTTGATCCATCCTCTTTAACACTATCACTTCCAGGTAATTCCATATTCTCAGAATTATACCGAGGAATGACTTCAGATTCTGTCATGGCTTCCTCTTTCAACTCTTTCATCGATTCATTCTCCATGGAAACACAATCATCCTGATAAACTGCAGGTGTGGGTTCCGAATCTTGCATTTCCATTTTCGAGGCAACAGAAACCAGTTTTTTGTTCCTGCAGATAGTAATTGGAACAATACCTGATAGTTTCTTTCTCTTATGCCTTTCTCTATCCCTATCGTCTGGAGTAACCTCTGCTAATACCTCGTCAAGAATATCCTCGCATTTGACCTTATCAGTCTCTTTGCCCTTTTTGAAACTCGAAGATGTGAACATCGAAGAAAGTCTTCCTTCACCTGTGATAGTAGCTGCAGCCTTAAGCGACGGATTCACCTTCTTGACCTGAG